CCCCCCCCCGCCTAGGGGACAGCCTGACGGGTGAGATGATCGATACTCTAAGGGCGGTCTTGCGCGCGACGCGGGTCAAGCACGTTAAACTGAAGATGGACACGTACACAGCCTGCGACGGAGAGCTGACGCTCTCGTGGTACCGCAACGATTACCTCGACACGCGATTGGACGGCTTCGACACGCCGCGCTGCGAGGAGCCCGACATCAGCATCTCGCAGTGCATGGTCTTTGCAGGCATGTTCCTTCGGTCGTGGCTCCGATATGAGAGGGGGACCTTTTAAGAGGGGGCTCCGACGTCCAAGAGGGTCGCAAATCGGTCGTCACGGACTCGATCCACACCAGACATGTTTGCGCAGCACATCGTGCGGTTGGGAACCTCTAGCGTGCCTTGTCCCATCGGAGAAACTCTTGGCCTCGCCTGTCGGTGTGCTTGTGCTGGTAGTGTTGTCGTTCGGAAGCCGCAGCTCTGCGTTGTCGGTGATATTGTTGCAGCTAGACCCATGATGGTGCAACAACAGCGTTCCGCATTGTTGTCGTCTGCGCCATGTCGGTGCCGAACGACATGGTTGCGTGATTTGTTTTTATTCTCGCGAATGATTCTGCCGTGAGCCAGCTCCGAATCGATCTTGATGACGACGTAACGTCAAGACTGCTTTCATCGTTTCTCGCAGATGATGCTACCTTGAGCCAATATGACACCCTCCTCGTCAACGCTGGGGCGCACCGTCAATTGGGGGGGGTGGAGGCGTACGGGTCGATGATAAAGACCGCTGCCGAGAGCCTGACCGCGTCGATGAGACGGTTACACGGGGATAGCGCCATCTTGGTGGTCAGAAACACCGTCCCGGGTCACGGCGAGAGCTTCGATAGGTGGGAGACGGGTCCAGGGGATGTTGGCTAAGCCATTACGGAGGCTGAAAAACAAGTTCAGTTTTCATACGTGATGACTTTGGGAGGCATGCGAACGTACGCTATGGATATTTATATTTCGAGGTCTTACACGCGGGACAGGTCGCCTGAAGTATTTCTGCGCAATCGTTTGTGTCTAGTTCGTCCCGCTTCGAGCATCGATGTGTGCATCGCGCGGTGTTATTTCAACAGTTGCAGATCTAAATAAACGGCGGGAGATCATTTTTATGGGGCAACACAGGCAGCACGTGCTGTCATTCGTCGTCGCTTGAATCCGTAACCTGCCATCATTCTTGTATCCGGCGTTGTTCACCTCCGGCGACATGTGGTGTAGTGTTTTTCTCTTGCTTCACATCTCCGCTCCATGAAATGAAACAAGCAGTCCTGCCGAGCCCGAGCAGAGCAATGCTACCCGCACGCGCTCATTCGATTTCTTTCTTTGGCAGTCCAGTTTTTTCCACATCTGTCTTTTTTTGGTCGCGGCAATTGTTCCCTCCCTCACCAACTCGTATCTACACTTTGCTCCGCTGCCGAATATGAGGAAGAGGTTATTGTCGTGCCCGAAAAGCTTGAGTCGCGACAACGTTTTTTTTTATCTGTGCCACTTTGCGTAACAGGATGTTCACCGGGCCTGTCAATTTAGACACGGCCCTCGACCTCGTCGAGAAAGGCCCGCCGGAGTTCGAGTGGACGACGATCAGAGATAAGAACACGGTAAGGTTCTCATTCTTTTTTTATCTTGGCGCCGTCGTCGCGTGTGAAGATTAGCAAGGGTCGGGGAGAGGCCTCAGAGTCGATCTTGCTTGTTGCGGGAGGGAGCCCAAGAAACCGCGCCGCGTGTACGCTGCGATAGGCTCGTCCTCGCCTCTTGTGTGATTTTCATATCAAACGGAGTAGACTACACGGCAGCAGTGTAAATAGTCGGTCTTGCTGATTTTGTAGCCCAGAACGTTGAACAGCCAGCCTTTCCAGGGTGCGAGTCAAGGTCAAAAATTGGAAGTGTTTTCACCCCCATCCTGCTCCAAACCATGTGCCGTCTCTAGACTCTTCTAGCGTAGCCTTGTGGGATGGTTATGATTGGTTGTCCTTCTGCTGCTCTTCTTCGTTTCTCGGCAGGCAATGGGCGCCCTCGAAGAATCCATATGGGTACTATATATGTTTGCATTTACGCTTTTGCTCCGAAGCCGCTGCCCGTGTGCCCCTCTTGGCCCACTGAGCACATTGCCTCCTTTTCACATTCCTTGTGGTCCGAGAGGGTTGTCCGTTTTTTTCTTGTTCTCTGTGTGCTTGTGTGTCTCTCTTCCGTTAGCATCGGCCGCACTATCCGACTCACCAACGACAAGGCACCGCTCTCGCTGCAGCGGGACGAAAAGTCGCGATTTCGCTTCCTTTTTTTTTGTCCGCGGATCCCCCGACAGGAGGGCCGCGGAGGAACTCGGACTTGAGGGTCATGTCTCAGGATACACACTACTTCAGTTTTGTTCGCAACCAGTGTGTGTGTGTGTGTGTGTTTTTTTTTTCTACACTGCTGTGTCACGAGAAAGACACAACTCTATCGATGGACTAGAGTCCACTGTCAACCAAGAGTTGACTTCATGATGGCGGCTGCTAAATAGTCCACTGCTGTTTCTACGTTTTTTCCGCGAACATGGCATCTCACTCTCCCCTGTGGGTAACAGGCTCAACCTCATATGCCTTGCACAACAGTAGATAGATCGTGTTCACAGAGTAGATCGTGTTCTTAACGTTTGCGTGTGCGCCCGCTCTTGGATGTACCGTCTCTATGTTGAAACCAAAGCTCCTGGAGGAAGCGTTCGACGCCACGCATGGCCGGACGCTGCTGGATGCCTACTCGCCGACAATCCTGAGGGCAGACTCCCACGCCTCAGCAACAGATGGCCTGCACTACTGCTTGCCTGGGCCTATTGACCACTGGGTGGTTCTGTTGTACAATATTCTCCTCGAAAAAGTGAATAGTGACAACAAATAGATTTGAATCTTGTTTGTTTTGTTTGTACTGTTGGTACTCTCTGCGCATGAAGAGCGTTGTGGTTTGACCCAGCGTGAGTCACAGTACGACGTGACCTAGCATGAGTCACAGCAGTAGTAGTTGTAGCTCTCTTTGCATCAAGAGCGTACTGGTTTGTATTCGCTAACCCCTTCGTCCCTGCGCTTTGGAGGCAGGGAAAATAGATTCCTAATATTCGCAACCTGACCCAGCGGGTGGTTGTTGCCTAGTCACGACGTGACCTAGCATGAGTCACAGTAGTTGTAGCTCTCTTTGCATGAAGTGCGTACTGGTTTGTTTCCGCTACCCCCTTCGTCCCTTCGCTTTGGAGGCAGGGAAAATAGATTCCTTTTACTCGCAACCTGACCCAGCGGGTGGTTGTTGCCTAGTCACGACGTGACCCACCATGAGTCACAGTAGTTGTTGCTCTCTTTGCATGAAGAGCGTACTGGTTTGTTTCCGCTAACGGTTCGTTCGTCCGTCCCTACAGAAGTCTAATGCGTCCCGAGCAAACGAACCGCGCACCACTTGTTATTTTGGTTTGGGAAAATAATATGGTGTGTCTCTGAGAGAAGCAAAGTCTCGCGAGTACTTTACAAGCTGACACCAACACCTGATCGATCATCATGTCGTTGTAACAAGACACCGCAGAAGACAAACACCACCCGCCACTTCCATCCGTCCGTCCGTCCGGTACTACAACAACTCAATACCGTGGGTTGCATAAGATATCACACCCCCACGACCGGTTTTCAAAGCTCGATTACTCTACGACGAAGAGAATGCTGAAATCAAAGGGCATGTTTTGGGAAAGCTATCGACGAGGCGGTTTCAATGCCGCCATTTTCGGCACCATCATTGCTTCTCCGACCGAGATGTCGAGCTTCGAAATTCGGTCCAGGGGGTGTGATATCTTACGCAACCTACGGTATTTATTTGTTTCTCTCTCTAGACTAGCTAAATTCTAAATTCCACACAGCAAGTGTTCTGCTGTTGCGTTTTTTGTCCCGACACGATGCCAGCTTGGGGGGTGCCCTTATTTATCATCATCGAGAAGTATCATTCATAATGTTTGCACACAATAGTAGTTTGTGTTGGACTGCTGCCATGACTGCTGCACTTTTTTTCAGAATTCAGAAGTGCATAAAAATAAATACACGCGCCAGGCCTTTGCTCCATCGGCCGTTTTGCTTGTATGACGGGGAATAAGAAGGTGAAATTACTTGAAATTAGTATGGAAATAAAACGGCCGATGGAGCAAAACGCTTAACACGCACCTCACGGAGGATTCCCAACCAGCGGGACCCGCGCTTGCTCGCATCCCGCATCCATCACGGCTGTGTAGTAGGTTCGTCACCTGTCACGCTTACACGCACACACCCGCCGTGTGTACAGCATCACGGAGGGAGCGAAGGCCTAGAAGCATCACCTTCCTTGGCTCTTGCCCTACCGCTGGACAGAAGCCGATTGCGGGGTGAGTGGGGGGCTATATTTTCTCCCCTAAAGTGGCACATCGACATGTTGTAATTTGACAATCCAAGCTACCCCATTTTGTCTCTTTCAAGTTTGAACCCCGTGCCGACAGGTTGCATAGTACTAGGTGTTATGACATAGGCCCTTTCTCGCAGCCAAGCTTGAGCGAAGACTCACCTTGCTGCTCATGGTTTTCTCGATACGGTTTGGCCGTTCTCTCTCTCTCCCTCTCTCTGTGCGTCGAAGGACGCTGCTGAGGACAGCAGTAGACGGGTTGGTCCACGGCTGCAGAAGATGGTGTCGAGGTGTGTTGTATTGGACCACGCGGCACTGCTGCTGCGGAGAGATCCACTTGGTAGCGCTTGAGGTCGCTGTCTTTTACCTCTCGCCAATGTCAATTGCTCGCAGGTGCAGCAAAGGTTGTGCGCTACCCAGCACCTATCTCCACTTGTTCGCCCCTTGCCGGCTTACTCTGCTCTCGTGCAGACAGTCTATTTTTCTAGTACCTCTCCACCATTTGCATTTGCGTGCCGCACATCAGCAAGTGGTAAGCTCTCATTTTTCTCTACAGCAGTACTGTAGCACCCACAGACACATCTTACACCACTGTCTGAAAGTGCTGTACACCACCGTCTGAAAGTGCTGGCGTCTCACGCACCCGATGATTATTTTCGAAGTATTCCCAAAGACACTTAACATCAAAATCAGATCAAAATAGATATGTTCTACCACACCTGATACAGGTGTAGGTGTAGGCCTATGCTGAAGAAGCTACAGCGGTACTTTTTTTTTTTTTCTTAATATGACACAACGAGTCCATCTCTATCATAGAAAAGAGTCAGAGACAGATTAACAATGGAATCATAGCGTCAGAGAAAACTACCTGTGTGTCTACGATTTCCCAGACAGCATATAGGGACATCTCCCCTGTGGGTAACAGGCTCAACAAATCAGTTTGGTAGCTGTCTTGTGTGTCTCATATATGTTATGTTGGGAAGGTGCAGACGAAAGGTGTTGGGTACTGTTGGGTAGTCGGGCGTTTTGTGTGTCGCACCCGATTAGTTCTAACACATGCAATCTCCATCAGTTTACAAACATATTCTCAGTTTGGTATGCATATGTGCGGAGTATGTGCGGCTGATGTGGCATCTCTATCATAGAAAAGAGTCAGAGACAGATTAACAATGGAATCATAGGGTCAGAGAAAACTACCTGTATGTCTACGATTTCCTAGACAGCATATAGGGATAACTCTCGGGTGACAGGCTCAAAAGATCAGTCTGGTAGCTGTCTTGTGTGTCTCATATATATACTTTGTAACGCGGATAAATATTTATTCCAAGCAGCCTTGACCGCGCCGTTGACTCACATCGAGCACACCGTCGTGGGCATCTGCGTGGACGGATATGCGTATATCTGAACCAACAACCTTGAGAAGGTCTCTGGCCTCGTTCACTTGATTTTGTTGCCTTATGCTCGGACTTGTTCGACTCTTGTTGCGGTTCAGTAGTATTGTATCGTACAACAGAAGAAATCTTGTGGACGATGCGGTCGATGAGGTAAATATTCACACCGCTCAGCAGGGGGCTCAGCTGACTGCTGTCCTGTCAGGCTGCTTTATCCTCGGGGGCTATCATGATGAAGTACTTCACGCAGGGATCAGTATAAACAAAGGTACTCTAGTAGGTGAGGCAGCAGCGGCAGTAGCATTATTTAGTAAGACCCCATGGCGAATTATATGTGGCTTCTTTTTTTTTCGACGGACGGAGATATGGAGATACAAGTAGATCGGACATTTTTATCTGAAAAAAAAAATGTTGGCGAATCGTACCTGTGCAAGTGCATACTGCTGTACATTCCCGTCAATGGTGAATACAGCGTGTGGAATACGGTCTGGACACGGAATTCCCCCGATACAAGCAGTAAGTAGCCTCCGGCACCCGGCCCTTGACGAGAGACGAATGCGGAGGAAGAGCTGTGAAATGAAATCGAACGAACGTCCTCGTCCGAGACAGTTCTGAAACCCGCCCAAGTCCCCCACCACGCTTGGGCAAAACAGCACTATTATACCACCCTTTGGCGATACCAAGCAACTCGATGCTTCAAGTAACAGTGCGTCTCGCAGGAGTAATGCCATGGTGGTAGATACAATGTAAGAGTGTTTTTCCGGGTGTTCCCGCTGTTGAAGGCTGCCAAGCTAACGGCCCAGGCCCATCAGCGGCGAGTCCAAGTAAGGCCTCCACACTGATTGTTGGATGGGGGTGTGGGCTGAATGGGCTCAGTCGAAGCTCGGTTTTGTGAGATCCTTGAACATTGAGTCCATAAAGCATTGAAAATATGGTTTTCTAGGTTTCGTACTGAAACAACTTCTGGGCTCGCCTTCGATCGTGCCGGTATTTGCCCACCAAAAACGCTTTACTAAATCAAGATCGACCGGTAGGAGTATTGCCAGTATCGGCGCTATCGAAGGTTGGACAGCCCGTTCTTCACTGTAGTACCGGTCCTAGTATTGCTGAAGGTTTATTTCTGTCGTATAGCGCAGCTTAAGCGATGCCAGGACAACCACGTGGTGAATGGTATGCGGTTTAGCAGCGCCGTGGGCGGACGTTGGCGGGAGAAGCTATTATATTAGGCCTGGGACTGCCGGGAGTACCTCGATACTTGCTGCACAGTCCCAACTTGGGATGGAACCATCAGGAATGATGCAACATATTGCTCTTTCCTACCTCGCTAGTACGTGCGCTGACTGCTATGCAGGCTAAAGATTGGCAAGAGACGGTGCGGACTAAATAAGTGACAGAACAACGGCAGGAAAGCAACCACCCTCGCGGCACGGTACCCCCCCCTCCCCACCCCTCCCCAACGAACTACTGCACCTTGCCAGATCAGCTTCCCTCTCATGCGTTGCCTGAACCGGTACGCCGCAAGGTCTGGTGCTGATCCTGTACGCACAGGGTCACTCACGTCTGCGTTTTTCGGGTGTCGCCCAGGTGTACAGGATAAGCTACGGAAAGACACACCAGGAGTACGAGAGCGAGCACGTCGGTCGGCAATTGCCACCACCACCGGCCAGGACGCAGAAGCGGCGGGGGTGGCGCCGGCTTGGGGGGAGGGGGGAGTTTCCGACGCATCAAGAGAACGAGAGCGAGAGAGGATACCGGGAGAACGAAGAAGCTCATTAAACATCTATCGTGTCTCCGCAAAAATTGATTCCCGCGGACCGGGCTACGGGGGGAGGCGGGGTATGGCTTCGAGCCTTGATGACAATGCTGCAGCCGAGGAGAAGTTCGCGTACACAGCGTCGGAGATATTTTCCATGTAAGTCTTCGTTTTACCTGGTGCCATTTCACGATTAAACAGCCTGGGACACACTCGAAAAACGTCTGTACCCCCTGATCTTGGGGGGGGCGTTGGTGGGTGGTTGTTGCTGGCGGCGTGGTTTTTTGTCGGTAGGCCTATGCGATCTCGACGGAGTCGCCGTTTCATCTCGCTCTTATTGTTTTTCTGAACATCTGTAGAACGGGGGTAGTTCGCGGATAGTCGGCGCCCACATATTTATTTTCCCGATTTTGAGCACACAGAATCAGGTCAGAGACAACTTTTTCGAAAGTAGACGTACGTCCAAAGAAAGACCACCCGTTGTTGCTGGCATGCACTCGTGGGTGTCGGGTTGTTGTTGACTTTGTTGTTCTTGTTGCCTTCACATGAGAAACCGTTCCAATCTCTCTGTCCAGTACCCCCGTCGTCCGAACTGATCTATGATACCCCTTGACGCGGTCGATTACCGTAGCCACACATGCTAACTTAACCTATATAAACGGTGAGCTCAATTAAAATGAACCCGGGGGGTTCGCAATACAATCGAAATGAGCGACAGATTTAGTCTGTGTATTGCTGCTATTTGGCCGCTGCGGTTGGTCCTCTATCATTCAAAGCCAGTCTTGACCCAGTGAACAGACGTTTACCCTCCTCAGATAGAGGCTGGTTACATGGGTTGCCACAAGCCCAACTCTATGGTGATCTATGGCATGTTCGCATGAGAACTCTTTCACCCCGAGAGAGGGGGGTCACTGGACAGAAATGCAGTACACGGGGCGGAGGAGTCGGCTCCGTCGACGCGGTAGGAGCGAAAACAATGACACCAAGGAATCGGTCGCAGTGTGTAGCACTCTGTTCGGAAATATGAGGACCAACGGATACAAATGTGGTCATCCCAATGGTTCTTGTATAGCAAAAGTCCCTGTTTAGTGCCGGTTCAACAGCGACGGTGCCCGGTATAGTTCCTGTGTTTTCGGCTAACACACACTGAATTCCCAAGTCATGGTCACTACTTTGAAATAGCGCCGGTCCGGTGTATTACCGGTAAAGTGCTGGGCACGTACCGTCACTAAACAGGGACCTCTACTGCATTTCCAAACAGAGTGGTACGCATACGCAAGAGGATGAAGGAGAAGTAAATCCACGATGCTCGGACCTACGTACCTGCTTCATCACCGCTCACCTGTACCCCTTCGAATTGTCTGTTCGCGACGTCTTGCGGGGTTGCTTCTTCCTTCGTGTGGATGCTAAACACCCCAGCGTTTCGCCGTACGTGTTCCACACACACGCCCCGAGAGTTTTCTCGGAAATTTCCGAGGCTCTGCGGAGGGCCCAGGATGCCAGCGCGGAGGTGATGGCCCGGCTGGAGGCTTCAGAAACTGCGCAGGTGGGGTTTGTTGTATGAGCATCATATGGTCATCCCTCCCCCCCTAGGTTGATGATGACCAGCTTCTGGTTCAAACATGGCCTGGTCTTGAGGACCCGGCAGATCACTCCGTCCCGGCGTTGTACAGATGCGATGTCGGTGGTCGACTTGTACGGCATGCGTGTACATGAGTACCCCC